AGTGACATTTGAATAAATGTCGAGTATTAAACTAAAACTAATAGGTTTGCTGTGATTTAATTAATTCAGCATTAATCAGTAAAAAAAAAGAACTATTTTGGTCACGATCACTGAGTCCGGGACCAGCCATTTTTGCCCAAATATAGTAACACCTCACACATCTTCCAGGAGTGACGTCACGGTGTGATAAGCCTAGCGCTTTTCTCCCCTCTTTACAAGCGAAGGCATTGGGAACTATTAGACACATCTGCCATCAACAACAGTTATTTGAGATTTCAAGAGGACCTCACCATTGAAATTCATAAGAGCTATAGTTAAACTGACAATTCCCACGTGAATGGCAGTTGGATGTTGCAATACATCGGGTAAAAGTGAAAAAGAAATTGAGTTATTTCAACTTTCCAATTCATGATCCTCCACGGATGGGTTGGAAGTTGGATTGCCAACTTGAAGAGGGAGGATTTGCCATCAAACTTCTGGCCAGAGAAAAAAACATGTAATATGTTGCCAACATTTCAAAGAAGAATGTTTTCAAGATTACTTTGATAATATTGCAGTGACAAACACCAGATACAGCATTGGGACTTGATCAACAGGCGATACCACACCGTGACGTCACAAACTAGTAGGTGGCAGTAGTGTTCTTTGACAAACATGGATGTCTCCAGTGAAGCAGTCAAATGAAAATTACTCTCAATTAAAAACACGTATCATTTATTGAACAGTGTGTAATCATTTCATATTTAAAGTACTTTCAGAAGTTTGAATTCTGGGTATGACCTGACTTTTCCTTTAAAGGGGTCATAAAATGATTATATAGGGTATTTGGTGCTGGTCCTTAAGGTCTCTGAATAGGATGTGTAACATTGGTCGGGCTGAAAATGTTCTATGAGCCCTAATGCAAGCCTGGTTATAAGCCCTAGAATTAAACAACAGGTTTCCTTCCCTTTATGATATGCTCATGAATATTTAGATAATTGGTTGGTTTACAACAAGTAAAGCTGCTGAGCAAAGACGCTTCATAGCAACAAGCACTCACTCACTAAAGCATCAAATTGTTGATATGGTAGAGTGACCAGACGTGCTATTCTTGGACATGTCCTAGATTTCATACCTTAAAAAAATGTCCAGGGGAAATTTCAAAATCGTCCAGGATTTTGGTTGACTACAGTACAGCAGAACCCAGCTGTGAGCTCCGGGGCTGATCCGGTGCAGGGAGCCAGTGGGGGGCAGAGCGACCCAACCTGACCCGGTGACGGTAGCCTGGAAATAGACGGCCCCCTGGTTCCCCCTGCCTCCCTTAATGCCCCCAGGCCCCCTCCTCTAACTGAGGACGGGCAGCTCATGGCTCTCTGCTTAGGCCCAGTCCAGTCAGCGGCCCAGCAGTAACACTTCATACCCACCCCCATCCCCACTCTCATTTTGCTGTGAAGCAAAGGTGATGACACTTATTTATATTTTTAGTCTTCATCTTATATACTCATCATTATTCGGCCATCTTGCATGTTTTCTTAATTACCTGCTACCTCGTGCAAAAGCATGACATTTGTATGATGCCTTTTTAAGTCCTATTTAGCATTCATACATGTTAGAATTGTAGTATAATGTGTGTTTGCACAAGGGTTTATTCCACCTGAAAATTTTATATAATAATAAATAATGATCAATGTATCTTATTGTGCAACATGATAGAGAAGCATAAAGGCATTAATAATAGTAACCTGACTTGGAAAAGTGCTTCCACAGCATGATGCTGCCACCGCTACATCTCACCATGGTGATGTATTTTTTTAGGATAACAGGCAGTGCTACTTTTTCTTCCTCTCTTTTTTTCATTTAACTCATCAGCATGTCATCTAGCTTTGCAGAAGCTTGGTAATGTTTATAGTGTAATTATTTGGAGCTCCATTAGCCGAAGTCAAGGCTGCTGCTATTCTTAATGGAGTCCATTAAAAGGAAATACAGTATAAAGTTACATAAAACCAAAATAATCATTAAAGTTCACAATAAAGAATGTGAAATTATATTCACTTCACAATATAAAAACTCAAAATTTGCACAAAAACATGATGTTCATGTATCTCACTACTCATAACAATTATCCATATCAGTTTAATCAGAAAGGAACACATTTACACCCTTAAGGAACAAATCAAATCACATGAATTGGCAACTATGTCTCGGTAGGTTTGATCATAATCAGGACTGTAGCCTGTATGCCTCTGCTGTAGGTTATACCCTGTTGAAATCTCTTTTTGGTATCTTTTAAAATATGATTGAAGAAAATGTAATCTGCTTCATATTTATGCACTTCTTTGTGTTCATATGTTATAAAATATTATAGATAAAATGCATCAAGCGTTAAGGTTGTAATGTGACCAAATGTGAAACCAAGTTTAAGGGTTGGTAATCTTTTTATTTGCTAGATTTCAAACCACACCTCTGATTTAAATCCAGCCTTAACCCAAACACCTGCCTTTGGTTCGGGGCGGGAAATGTTCTTTGTTTGCTCTTTTTATTTAACGTTTAACTCGCATTCATTGGATAAAACAAGTATTTGCTTTGATTAGTAGAAAATCACATTTTCTTCTTGCATCCAATATAATTAAATATCACATCATGGCTAATGCTTTTTAAATGTTTATTGATGCTACAAGTGCTATGTTTTGTGAATTAACCACTAGAAGGCAGTGTGTAGTGGTGGGGCTGTTAAAGTATAACTGTGTTTGTTAACTGGAATTGTTTGAATGGTTTGTAAAGTTATCCAACTTCAATAATTAATAGCTTAGCTCGAATAATTTCTGAGGAAAAAAGACGATTTTAACTTAAAAAATTAACTTCATTTTGTTTTTCGTGCTTTGCCAGCTGTTGAGATGATGATCCATAATGACATGAAGAGTGTCACTCATGGGAGGACCCCTCCCTCCCCTGTTCCCTAATTGTCTGTGAAATCTGGAGGAAAAACAGGGCAATTTCTTGCATTAATCACAATGGATTAGCAGTTTTCATTGCTTAGTCACGCTCACAAAGCTGCACTTCAAAGCCTTAGTAGCGTTAGCCTCTGCCCTGAATCAGACACAGCTGAAGTGTACCACCCCCTAGGCTGGGCCCCAGCTCTCCTGGGACATTGAAAGCAGCACCAAGGACAAATCCATGCTGGGCTCTGTGTAAAGTAGCTTTCTCTTCTGGACCAGGCCCACACTGTGGGACACTCCCTTCTCCATTTTTTATTTCCTTTCTCTTCATCTGGCAAATCTTTAAAAAATGATTTAGATGATGCTAGGTTTACTTTCTTTCAGTGATGTTTTCCCACTGCATGTGGTTATCTTTTGATTGTAACGGCTGTCAGCTTCTTCAGATTTAATGTCACTAACCGAACCAGCAGAGGGTTATTAAAATCCATCATGTCTCATGACTTATCAATAAACTGTACTTTATCTGAAGTGTAACACACCTTTACTCAGAGTATTCAGCCTTATCAAACTCAAATAAAGGAGAGGAGGAAGAACATTTAGGGCCTATATTTCTGAATTTGAAAGATAAACATAGAATCAAGAAAAAAAGCCTAAAAGCATAATAACTAAACAAACTTGACGAATTGAACTCAAATAACCAAAAAATTTATCAAGTCCCCTTTAATTCTCAGGAATTAAATCAAAGGCATTTTTTTGTTTGACCCAGGAAACATTTTTGAAAGAGAATTGAAGGCAGGAGGCAGTTATGGAGGCTGTTAGAATGAACAAAACAAACAGCAGAACTGGAGGACAGAAGTGAAAATAATCCACCTGGATCAGAGCAGTGAGTCCTGGGAACCGGAGGCCTCGCTTTTCATGGTTCAGACGGCTCAGTTCCTCTATGGCCAGAGAAATCCTTGCTTCGCTTCCCCAGCCGAACCATTTGTAGCCTCTACGAATGGTTCGGCTGGCCCAGTTGGACTGTCTTGGTTCTGTTCTTTACTTGTGATTCAGAACCATGTTCTCAGTGCATCCTTTAAGAAATTACCTGAAGGCTTTAACACATCTGGAGTACAAAAAAACTGTCAACTTGCTCAGATTTACTCAAATCTAAAAGACATGGGGAGAAGGTAACTATTAACAGGAGTATTTTGTTAAATTAATTCTATAAAGTCTTGAGTTTATTTTTTCAGTATTGGTATTAGGTCTGAAACAATCATGATTAATCCATCATTGAAATAATCGTCAACCAATCTAGCAATCGATTGATCGTTAACTGGACTATAGAGACTCTAAAACATGTGTTTTATTCGACTTGGAGGAATAATGATTTTAAAATTTTAAAAGAAAAAAAAACTCAGAAAAATTTTGCATTTAAGATATAAAAAAAAATTATAATTTCATCTTTCAATATGCTTATTCCAGAACCCCTCAAGTGGAAAGGTTTTAGTTTCACCTGGTTAATTTCGTAAAATATCTTTGGATAACCTTTGGATAATTATTAATCGAAAAAATAATTGCTTTGCAAAATAGTTAGTCGATGTATGCAAGATATGCGGCGTATACCAATTAGGGCTGCAACTAACGGACAACTAACAGCTGAATATTATCATTTCCATCACAGTATTGTCTAATATCATGGAGTCTTGGTTAACTCTGTTTGGCCCGACTTTTTTATTAAATAAAGGTTTTCTGCATCTTTCGCTGGGCTTTGAATCAGACCACCTAACAGGGCCCTAATCAAACAGTTTTAGGCACAGAGAGTATTGCATCAAATAGGCCATTTAAGGCAATGGAGTCTGAGTAGTTTATCTAAGACTTTAGAAAAATATTCCCTTTTCACCCAAAATACTGCCCGCTAAGATCTGCTTAGTACATTGAAAACCATTCAGCACTGAGCCTTACAATGATTTTGTATAAAGCTTGAAAATTGTCAAAATTTATGCTACACAGATGTCTCTTGTCTGCTTTTATTTTGAAAGAACTGGTACATTTTACTTATCTTATTTACTTATAAGTTAATGGTGTCCTTTGTTTTTCCTGCAGGCAGAACAGAAGGACAAGTTCTTGTCCCGAAGTGAAGAGCCTCTCCATCGCCTTCATCACTCAAAACCGGATCCCCTGATTCGAGTCAGGCCCCTCAGCGACCTATTTCCATCGCAGAGCCTTGCAGACAGGAGCTCAGGCCCCTGCCTGCTGTCCGGTTGTGGCTCCCAGGTACAGCCTGTGGGTGAAGCTCCATTCTCTGATGAGAGCAGAATAAATGGAATCAACTCCTCTGCCTGGACCAACCCAGGGAACAATCAAGCTGAAGGAAGGCCTTACAATTCAAGAATAATGAGGCTGTTTTCTAACTCGAGGAAGGGTGTCGTCCCTCCTCACAGCCCTGATGCAGAAAGCTCGAACAACGACGGGAACAGCAGCCCCCAGCCGTGGACCGGATTGGCAGGGCTCGGTGTTATGGACTCCTTTAAAAAACTGCGGTCATCTGTGCTGCAAGGAATTCAGAGTAAAGGGGCAGCGAGCAACATTGCCCCCCCACTTTTCATGGACATGCCTAATGGATCAGCCAGGAACAGCTCAGGGTCTGATCTAGCTGATGCAGCTAATCATATATCTAATCTACATTTACCAGACCAATTTTCAGCCACCAAGAAACAGCACGACTCAGATATTGAGGACTATGATGATGAGGAGGCTGACTGTGAGCTCCAACGCAATTCCCGATTTTCCAGGAGCATCAGGAGAGCATACGGCGCAGGAAGGATCACGTTACTTGACTTAGAAAATGGAAGAGGAGCAGGTAGAGAGAAAGCTGACACTACACACATGACACAAAAACCAAATCAAAAATCAAGGGTTGATGTCCAAACAGAGACCCAGAAGGAAAATATCAATGTGAAGGTTTTGAGCAGACTCAGCAAAAGTGCAGAGAACCTTAATTTATTTAAGCGACCTACGAGACGAAAAAGCCCATGTCCAGGACTTGCTTCACCTCAGGACGACCTTCAGGGCATCACGTTTCCAAACGGGACACCCAGCATCCAAAGGACCTCCAGCGTATCTTCGGTGGACCTCCGAGGCAGGAGGAGCCAAATGAAGAACAAGGGGCCAATGGTCAAGCTGATCGGCAGTATGACCGACCTAACCGGCCGGCGGAGTAAGAGTCTGTCCACGAGTCCCACCTCTCCGTCTCCCATGTCCCCCCTGAGCCGTCTCCACGATGACTACTCTCGACGTCTGCCTTGCCTGCAAGCCAGTGAGCGACAGCGCCGGCCCACAGCCGCCACCGCTCAGGTCACCTCCGCCAAAAGCACTCCTCTCATTCACACGGAGCCCGAACACCACGCAGAGCCGCAGCCCTGTCAGACTGTCATCGACCCACTTTCCTCAGAGCCCCGAGATTCACCAGAGCAGCTTCAAGCTGATATCTCTGCTCAGCATGAGCTGCCGCCTGCTTCAACAACAAGTAATTCTGAACAGATGGTCGAATGTGTTTCACCCCCACTCAGTCAGGGAGAAGCATCGCAACAACAACCTGACTTTGCCTCGCTGCCAAATGAGGTAAGGCTGCAAACTTATAAATTACCCTGTGTAATGAGTGGGATATGGAATAACCTTCCTCTCATGTCTCTTTCTGTCTATCTCTATCTCTCCCTGCCTCCAGAAAACCGATCTTTATGATAAGCGTTTGAGTTTTTCACTCTTACTGCGGTTAAAGGGAAAAAAACTAGACAAGATTACAGCAACATTATGTACTAATTTAAGGTTTTATCTTAACTAACAATGGTTATCTGATTCCTTATCTGTTTTTTCTAGGAAATAATCAAGGTTTCTTAAGGACTATACATAGTTCATGTCTACCAACTTTACAGTTTGATATAAAGTTGACATTTCCTAACAAAGAAAATAAAATATTATTTTGTTTAACTGGAGCCCCAGATGCTGCCTTGCAAGTGATTCATAGAGGTGGCTGAATTACTTTACCACTTTATCATAGGCATCAGAAATTTATGGTTTATGTGTAATTTTTGGGGGGGGTTCTACCAAATAAATATCATTGAAGGAAACATTTTCAGGGAATGGACAGCAATGTTTCTCTCTGTAACATGCTAATCTAAATCTAAAGTATTCTTAACAATCTTTATTTGTAAATGTAACATTTTTTTTTACATTGCTATAAAACATCTCCTTTGGACTAAATTAGTGTTCTTGAGAAGCAGTGGGTTGCCACTGCACTTTTAGCATCTCAGGACACAAGAAGCGCTATGGAGCTAGTTAAAAGAAAAAATTATCTGGGGGGGGGGGAGTTTGTTTAAAATAAAAAACTTCTTTTCCGTTTCAATTTTTTTTTTCTCTCATTCAAACTTGCAGATTTTTTTCTCTGGCTTCGAACTCATGGCTATGTTTTGGCATGGGGGGCCGGGCCTCAGATGACAGTAGCTACGTTTACATGCGCAAAATTTCCCCGATCCGATCCAAACCTTGGTTGATCGGAAATTCAAAATCTCCGTTTACATGGACACTAAATGAAATGATCCGATCATGACGTGTGTATACATGTACCAAGCGTTGGATCAGATTAAATCTTTTAAGCATGCGCAGAACTGTGTACTTCCGCTTTAGCAGTAGAAGAAGAAACCGGCTTTTTGTAAACAAACTAGTACTTGTCCGCAATTCCTCAACTTTAGCTACTCTTTGTGCCTGCCCCTCACTTCTTTTTCTTAAGTCGTGTTTGGTGATGTCGTTTTTTTCCATCATGGACCTTCGTCGCATCTTTGTAACAATACTTTTGTTTTTGGTGGTCATTTTAGTTAAGGGCTCACCAGTACCTTATGCTAACCCTCCTTCGCTTCAGTGGTAGAGAGCAGGATGGCATGTCCATCCGCACCTTACATTTATTGCCACCTCCTCCGCCAAGGACCAGGAGCCAGTGGATGAAGGTTCGGAGTAAAGACTGGTGGGAGCGTGTGGTGACGTCGCACACATGCGCAGTGAAGATTATTTTACTCTTAAGATCCGAATGGGTGTTTACATGGACGGCAATCAGAATGGCGATCGGCAAAAACCACCTCTCTCTTTTGGAATTAAATTTATTTCCGATCGGACCGAATCGGATTAGAATCTTCAGTCTGACATGTTTACATGAAATATTTTTGATCTGATCAGGCCTTCAATCCGATTATTTGTGTCCATGTAAACGTAGCTATTAATGTGTAATTTTAACAGCTCATCACAGCAGCTGAACAACGTATTCCCTGTTGCATTGATGGACTGTGGGAACTGGAAATGTCTTTAGAAAATCATCAACATTCTGTGTGTGGGGAAAAAATCGATTTGGCGATATATCCTGATTGATATCGATCTTTCAGGTATTAATATCGATTTTAAAATTTTTTAATTTTTTAACCTAAAACAATGAGGGGAAAATGAGCCACCTCTGCACCGCCACTCTAATAGATGGTGCTGTGGAGCCCTTTTGCTGTGCAGAGCCATATCTGTAGTTCAGGCAGTCATGACTCAAACCCCAAACATTATGGATGCCAAAATAGCTAAACAATCACTATCTTCTGATGAACATTTAAAGCACTTTATAGTGATATTGCAATATCATGATAATATTGTATTACAAGTATCGTTACACGTATCGTATCGCAACACCCATGCCAATACTCACCCCTATGTGTATGTGATTAGTTTTGAAAAATAATGTGTGTTCACCAATAAGAGCAGCTTACAATATGCAATGCAGATTTCAGAGGATGAAATATGAGCTGGAAAGATTTGCACAGTCTGGAACAATGTTTTATTTTTGAACTTTTTTTCAGGTTTAATTACTATTATTATTTTTATTTTTTTACTTTATAGACTTAATTTAGCTCAATAACCCAGTCCATTATTGTAAGTCCTCATTATTTCAGTTTGTTGCTGTGTATACATTTAAGCCCACGTTTTAGAATTTTAGTTTAGTGTTTCAGAAACTATTCCCAGAAGATTTAAGGGGTCCCTATGTCCTCCAGCAGTCTAAGACTATGGCAGCATATATACTCTCTTAGCAGATTTTATTTCACTCGGGTCTCTTGTTGTTTCTGTGAAAAATGACAATGTTTATTTTAAAACCTAAAACTCTCAGCTAAAATCCTATACTGCTTAGCTTCTGAAAAAAAAATCAAGAGGTTAACCATAATCTTCTAATGCTGCTTTACTACCTGCCCTTGTACCTAACTAGTGATAGTAGTAATGAAAATGAAACACATAGAACCTTATGATACAGATATTTTTTTTAACTTATTGTCATCTTGTAAGTTTCAGCTAAAAAAGGTACTTTTGCTAAAAGCTAAAAGAATGTTTTCATTGAATCTGAATCAGTTTAAAGCTTTGATGTTAGATGTTTATAGACTTTTTTGTTTTGCAAAAAATCATTTAAAGTCATCATACATGTATGAAAACATGTTTGTTTCTAAGAACAAGAAATCCCTTAAAGCTGCTTCTGCATGGTATTTTGATCATTTAAAGCCCCTCTCATTCGGAGGGCTATTGTGACCTTTTTTTAAGTGAGGAAATAAAGTGAACTTTGATATATTCCCGCGATGATGTAATACTTATGAGTTCAACCGCACGTACACTTAAAAAGGAAAAGGAGTTGTAAGCTGTCCAAAGTCCCCATGCGTGTCAGATAAATGACAGCAAAGGTGAAACATCGACTGGCCCTCCTGTTCCTGTCAGATCTGTTTGATTCCCGGCGTCCCCTGCAGCAGAGTCACATGCTGAGGTTGCACCCGTCGTGCCGCCGGCGCTCTGAGGGCGCTGGGGGAGTTAATGATTAGACTTTGTTTATGATTAGGAGACTTGCGCAAAAGAACAACAAAAAACAAAAACGGTGTGCGGCTCTGGTTTAGTGGGTTCTGGTTTTGAGGCTTTGACTGAGCACAGCATTAGTCCCCCCCCCCCCTCCCCTTTCTGTTAGCCGTTGCTCCAGATCAAAGTACAGCAACATGAACGCCAGGCCTTTGACAGGTAACAGCTCCCCCCAAGTAAGCAGTAAGCAGGCCATAGATGCAGGACTTTAGCAGAATAATGCTCTGAGATTGGGATTTTGCTTTTAACCATGGATTTGAAAAGTACATCCGTGTTCTTTAGACATCAAGGGGCTTCTGAAAGGAATTTAGGGATTTGGCCTTGAGGACCACCGGCTATCCAGTTTTACAATGGTGTTAGTACTATGTGTACCATTCCAGTGTTTATGCAGGGGTCCGGACCCAGACCAAGGAAAGCCAGAGGTGAGTTTTATTTTCTCTAGATGGCTGTAAGCATCGCCTAATTTTCCTCCATTACCTAAATCTGGCACAGTGAATGCTCAAGGAATGCATTTGTATTAATTTTATTGTGAAGCAGAATTGTGATGCTTACAATTATCATGTAAACAGTAAATATTTTACTTTAAAAATGTACAAATGGGAAGCTCATTGAAAGAAATCCTTGTTCTGTGTTGAGATCCAGCAAAGTTATCTGTGACTTTGCGTCGCCTCGGCAACCTGATGTTTTTCTTATGAACTGATCTTGGTGAGGTGTAATGATTGCTCTAAATCACCAATTCAAAGTAGGACTGGTGAATATATCACAAAAAAATAACACCTTAACAATCACACTCTATTATTTGCAGCTCTATGCTCTCAGAAATGTTTTAATAATTAAGCTTAATAATTTAAAACACCAAACCATTTTTTTTCTGATAACAATATTTGTGCCGATACTACTGTTGATTTAATGAACCGTATACCTTGCCGTGTGAGTGAAGACAAAAATAAAATTAATCACTAGCTTGAAATAAAGTGACTAAATATGTGTAACTGCCGTCTGTGATGTTATTGAAAAAAGAAATGAGCGGATTGTAATTCAAGATCGGTGTCATTTATCCAGTATCCGATACCCATAATGAGTGAATGAATCGATTCCGATATCAGATCAGAGATTTAGGATCTAATTTAATCATAAAAATTGTTCATCAGTGGCTGTTTTTAGTTCTTTTAAATTCAGAGTGAGACGTTGGTTTCCTCTAACTGTCCTGCAGAAAATGCTAAGTTATTATTAGCCTGTTAAGTTTAGAACGGAGGTCTTAACAGGGGGTCCGCGACCCCTAAGTGGTCCACGGAGATACTGCATGGGGGTCGCGAAAGTTTTGCTTGATTAGACTTTTTTCTTTTATATTCCCCCCTGCAATTTTTTCCATTAACTGAAATGTCTTTAAATACACATTAACATGAATTCAACACACTGTAGTAAACAGATAAATGGAGGCAGAAGATGTCTTTCATCATCAATGCACACATTCAGCAACACATAGGAGCTCTTTCAAGCTGGGCACCGTTTCATTCACAACACCTGTCCCATCAATGAGGAATCAGAATCAGAAATACTTTACTAATCCCAGGGAGAAATTACTTTCGTTACGTTACTCCATCTGTAAAATGTGACTATAGAACCAGTTTGATATAACCGCTCCAACTTACCATCAGTTTGGGGGTCCTCGGCCTGGAAAACTTTGAAGACTCCTGATTTAGAGTTTCAGAAGGTCAAGTTAGCTTTTCTATGTTGTTACTGCAATTGTAACCCGAGGGTCTACTCTATTTGGTGGACAATAACAACAAAAAGGCTCCTTATCTAATCGCTATTTGGTGCCTTCACAATAAGAGTCTTATTGGAACCTTTGATGACATATTTTATGAAAACAAATTATACTGATTCTGCTTATTAAATCAGCCTTAAAGCTATAGTGGAGTTCCTTTTCTGGGTGGATCATCAAAATAAGTGGTCCTCCTAATCGTCAATCATTCTGGTTAAATGTTTACGTAAGGCTGTCCTACGTGCTTGTCCCCATTTTCACTTGCGGTTGGTGAGTCTGACATAGTGGAAAAATTGCAAATCTTCTTTTGGAAAGTTAGCTTGTATGAGCGATGCAAACAGTAACTTTTGAACAGAGCGTGCACAAGGAGAAATGGGCTTGTACATGCACTTGCACACGTTTAATAGACATTCCCTCTCAGGAGCGGGTACTGGGTTGTGCATGTGCATTTTTTTTTCAAAGTGGAGAAGATGTAGCCTGGGTGCCAGTCAGAACTTAGCCCCGCCCACAAGGTTTGAGTTTGGGGAAGTTCGATCTGGCTCTGCTCCATAGTAGCGCGAGTATTATCGCCCACTGTCAGGCGATCCAATCAAATTGTCAGGGCGGACTTTATACGATGATGGACAGATGATCAAGAGTAACGTAATCAACCACGCTACCAAAGCGCGCTAGGGTGACAACAATAATGGCTGCCGCTGGAGAGTTTGGGTGAGTAGATTCTGCTATTAGGTCTGTTCTAGAAGATATCGACAGCAAATTAATTTTAAAAGAGGAACAGAGAAACACGATCAAGTCTCATCTTCTTATTCTAGGCGTGAAACTACACGCTTTGATTTTTGTGGACAACTATGCCTCGCTTAACATACGTCACGCACTCCGTTGCTCTTATTGGTTGTAGGTCTATCCAATTGAGTGCAGAGGCATTTTTTTTCCTGGTTCGTTCGAAACACGCCCCGTAATCACAGCTCTATGGAGCAGTATCAGACTCATATTCTGACTAGAATTGAGTCGGACTACGTCAGGCTAGAGAAGATGGCTCTTTTCAAAAATTTGCAAAAATCCTCCACTATACCTTTAATGTTTTTTATATATATATATATATATATATATATATATATATATATATATTTTGTTGGTTCAGACTGCAAGCTGTGATTTATCCCTGACAGACATACAGTACTGCAATGTTATTGTTAGAAAGTGATATTCAAATTTTTTGTGCATTTATTGATTTTGTTCAGGAATAACCTGAATAATTTGACCTTAATTCTTAGTTATTTTTCGTGTTTTTGTTTGTTTCTTCTTGCTTTCTAGGTAAAATCACAATTTCAAGAACAAGAAGCACTTCTGCAAACAGACGAAGTCTCCACAGCAGCCAGCAGCCCACCTCCTTACCCCCCAGCACGCCTCTCTAATATACCCACATCACCCACAGAGGAGGCTGCAACTTCCACAGAGACGTCTTCGGTCCAAACCAGACGAAGGAGCGGCCGCCCCAGACCCCGGCCCATCTCTGACTATGCCCAGCTGGTTTCCAGGAAGCAATCCATCCCAGAGGAAGTTCCGGTGCCAAACTATCCGGAAAGGACATTGGACGCACGGCTGCATGAAAACGGGAGCAGCCCTGAGAATTATGCCTTTAACGGGGATGTTCCGAGACATCGGCCCATCTCTGTGATCGGAGCTGTGGATCTCTTCCCTGCAGATAAGGAGATGAAGGAGGATTCCCTTCCTCCTGTAAGATTTCACCATGTTTCCCTTAAAATCATTTTCTTGTTGCACATTTGTGATTAAATGATCTGTTCTTAAATTTAAAATCATTAAATGACCTTCTGATCTAGTTTCCAATATATTCAAGTAAATTAAGTGGCAAAAAGCAAAGAATCATTCGGGATCTCTTCATGAAGGGAGGCCACATTTTTATAGCATCCGCAAAAAATCCATAAACACTAGTTTTAGTTATGGTATTTTATGTTGTTTACATTTTTCCACTGATGATAGTTTTCTCCTAAATCCTAAATGCTGCGGGTTGAGGCAGATTGTAATCTTTTTGTGCTAATCTGCAGCTTTGTGGCTCAATCTCTTTAAATCCTGCATGATGCTTTTTTTTTTTATTCCAGGTTGCTTTGAACATGTTGCAACCAAGACCTCTCTAGGTCCGTGGAGCAAACAAAGATAAAAAACAACACTTGCAGGAACATCTAACAAATATCACTTTAGTATGTGTACAGCAGCTTTGGCAGCTGAAAAACAAAATATATTGTTTTCAAGTTACAATAAAAAAAATAGTATGCTAATGAAACAGCACAGAAACACAGGGCTCACAGCTAAAGGGCAAAGAGTTTTATCTTCAGTTGATGAGATTTGTAAGTAAGGACTGAAACAGAGGAGCACAGTAGCTAAAAGCAGAGCTTTCCAAGTTTTAGGAGCCTGTAAAGCGAGCTATGATTGGTGTAAATATTACTGACATTTTAGGAGAATACATCTGATGAACATAGAGTTTGATTTTACAAACATTGAATTTAAAATGTGCTAATTTAATCTTTCAGAAAGAGCCAGAAGGCTACTTTAGTATAAAGCGCACGCTGGTGCGTCTTTTAGCTGGTTATTCTTAAGTCACTGTGATGAACAAAAGTCTGATTTTGAGAAGTTTAAAAAGTGGATGATTAAATTAGTCAAAGAAGGAGGAAAACTAATGAATCTTTTCTATATGATCCGTGGAAAATCTGCTTTCTTACTCAGCCGTATTTAGAAGGAATCAACATGGGTGTTAAGTTTAGTTTTCAGTAAATCAAGCCCTTGTCACACCTTGACGATTTAGACAGCATATGCCTTATGTACCAAAAATCTGGAAAAAATGTCTGCATACGTTGGATAAGTTATGGATACGTTTTGTATAAGTTATGAGGATGCTGAAGCACGCTGACACACTTTGAAACACGCCGCCGTACGTGGGCCGTATATTACAGGTAAGTTATCTGATCGTTGAAATACGTTAAGTGTAATTTACTAATAAGTCATGGTGTGTAGCTTCTCCAAAACCTTTCAGTAACTTGTGCAAAACTTATGTGTATCTTAACAAGAACTTATCTCCAATGCATATCAGCGTATTTGACGTGTTCCAGACGAAGTGGGCAAAGTGTTTCTAACTTACAGCCACCATATAATGGCATATTGGCAGCATTTTTGCATAAAAGGGGGTTTACAGGAGGAAACTAGTCCTCCAGACTGCATCACCATCATAGGTTGAGTGAGAAGTTGAGAGTGATGGATCCTCCCTGCATTCACGCCCACAGCCCACGGTCAACAAACTTCCTAGCAGATGTTACTCTGAATCTGCTGTGCTGCAAACCTTCTTTCTTTCTTTTTCTTTTTTCTTTTTATCTACTTTTTTTTTTTTTTTTGCAGGCGGTAAAGGGCAGATACAATACCGCTATCAAACAAACTTTTTATGCAAGCCGGGCGCCTCCGGGCGTATAGCTGCCACCACAGGACACTGGCTTATGATATTTCATTAGCATTACATTTGCATAAGTAAGGCTGTCATTGGACAGAAGTTCTGGAGTCATTATAAAAACTCTACATATACACCCAAAATAAAAATAAAAATACATCGAAAGTTTAGCGTATGCCGGCATTTTAGAAGATTCTGGGACGTCAGGCATTTGCTGGCTAAATCGTTAAGGTGTGACAGGGCTTGTTGAAGCTGTTGAAAGTCTGGCCCTGTCTAATGTAGTGTTGTAAGAAAAGAAAGAAGGATTAGATGGGTTTTATAATTAATTTATCTAGTTTGCAATATTGTTGTAAATAAGAAGATCTTATTATAACTAAGGTTTTAAAAAGTGGAGTGAGCTGAGTCTGCACAGAAATACAGGACTGTATAATCAATGGAATATTTATAAAAATGTGAGACTAGTAAACAGGGTACATTTAACATGCTATCAGACATATAGTTTCTTTAACCATAGGGAAAAATTTTAAAGCAGGCTTAGAGATTAGCAGAAAGCGTTAGAAGGTAAAGCAGTTCTTAGACCTGAAGCTCAAGCAATGTCATTTCCAACTATCAGAAATGGAGGCATTGCCTTTTTAATACTGTAAGAGACACAAGGGGCGGAGACAAATAAACAGGTCCTGATTGTTTTATCAGGTCCATGTGAGGGTTTAGACGTAGATCTGTACAACCCAGAAAATGATAAAAGCCAAACCAATTAAAGAAACAGACCAACTGACATTCTGCATATTATACAGGTGCTGGTCATAAAATTAGGATATCATGAAAAAGTAGATTGATTTCAGTAATTCCATTTAAAAAGTAAAACTTGTATATTATATTCATACATTACATACAAACTCATATATTTCAGATGTTTATTTTGTTTAATTTTGATGATTACAAATGACAACAAATGAAAATCTCAAATTCATCATATCAGAAAATTAGAATATTACTGAAGACCAATAAAAACAAAGGATTTATAGAAATGTTGGCCAACTGAAAAGTATGAACATGAAAAGTATGAGCATGTACAGCACTCAGTATTTAGTTGGGCCCCCTTTGGCCTGTATTACTGCAGCAATGCGGCGTGGCATGGAGTCGATCAGTCTGTGGCACTGCTCAGGTGTTATGATAGCCCAGGTTGCTCTAATAGTGGCTTTTAGCTCTTCTGAATTGTTGGGTCTGGTGTATTGCATCTTCTTCTTCACAATACCCCATAGATTTTCTATGGGGTTAAGGTCAGGAGAGTTTGCTGGCCAATTAAGAACAGGGATACCATGGTCCTTCAACCAGGTACTGGTAGCTTTGGCACTGTGTGCAGGTGCCAAGTCCTGTTGGAAAATGAAATCTGCATCTCCAAAAAGTTGGTCAGCTGCAGGAAGCATGAAGTGCTCTAAAACTTCCTGGTATGTGGCTGCGTTGACCCTGGACCTCAGAAAACACAATGGACCAACACCAGCAGATGACATGGCACCCCAAACCATCACTGACTGTGGAAACTTTACACTGGACTTCAAGCAACGTGGATGAAGTGCCTCTCTTCTTTTCCTCCAGACTCTGGGACCTTGATTTCCAAAGGAAATGCAAAATTTACTTTCATCAGAGAACATGACTTTGGACCACTCACCAGCAGTCCAGTCCTGTTTCTCTTTAGCCCAGGCAAGACGCTTCTGACGCTGTCTGTGGTTCAAGAGTGGCTTGACACAAGGAATGCGACAGCAGAAACCCATGTCTTTCATACGTCTGTGTGTGGTGGTTCTTGAAGCACTCACTCCAGCTGCAGTCCACTCTTTGTGAATCTCCCCCACATTTTTGAATGGGTTTTGTTTCACAATCCTCTCCAGGGTGCGGTTATCTCTCTTGCTTGTACACTTTTTTCGACCACATCTTTTCCTTCCCTTCGCCTCTCTATTAATGTGCTTGGACACTGAGCTCTGTGAACAGCCAGCCTCTTTAGCGATGACCTTTTGTGTCTTGCCCTCCTTGTGCAAGGTGTCGATGGTCGTCTTTTGGACAACTGTCAAGTCAGCAGTCTTCCCCATGATTGTGTAGCCTATAGAACTAGACTGAAAGACCATTTAAAGGCTTTTGCAGGTGGTTTGAGTTAATTAGCTGATTAGAGTGTGGCACCAGGGGCCATCAATTTTGAACCTTTTCACAATATTCTAATTTTCTGATATGATGAATTTGAGATTTTCATTTGTTGTCATTTGTAATCATCAAAATTAAACAAAATAAACATCTGAAATATATGAGTTTGTATGTAATGTATGAATATAATATACAAGTTTCACTTTTTAAATGGAATTACTGAAATCAATCTACTTTTTCATGATATTCTAATTTTATGACCAGCACCTGTAAGCCTCAGTAAGTGCTGTGAGATCAATTATTTGCCTCCCTTCAAATGCTTTAGATCATCAAACGGTTAATAATAAATTCAGTTTTCAAACAAATCCTGTCAAGCATTTACACTAAAGAGACTCATATTTATACTGTTAAATCCCTCTGGAAAAGCCTTGGCCTACTTTTCTCTCCAGACTAATATTCAGCTGACTGTAATGGTGCAAATACTTTAGTTTGCTTGTGAAGTGTTACAGGAAGCACAGAACTACTGTATCAAATAGAGAAGCCCAAAGTGACCAGCCTTACTGTGCAGGAACGCCCACTCAGACTCAGACTCTGCAATATGTGTGTAGCAGTGAGTCATGGGGGGAGCTGGTGAAAGCCCGAGAAAGTGAGCTCTTCCTAAATCCCAGGACTTTTCCTCTTGTTATTACTGCAGCCTTTGTCACGACCACCGATCCCCTCCCACAAGGTGCCCCCCTACAGAGGAGTGTCTGCCAGATTCCGACCCTGCCCTCTATCCCAGAGCACCCCTATCGGACTGGACCGCGTGGGGCGGCGCAAGCTCCACAGAGTACTGAGCGGTGAGAACTGGGTTTGTTTTTGAGAAGATTTAACAAAAGTTTGTCTGTGAGGGGAAAGAAAAGAACAAGAAAAAAATAGGGGCTGAGGAATGTCAGCAAGTATGTTGGAGAAGGAGAAGTGCTGATAGAGAAGCAGATGTATGTTGCTTGCTTTCTACTTGTGGTTTCTTTATCTCTGGGTATGTGTTGCAGCTGGTGTGTCTGAAAGCACAGCTACGCTTGATGACAGCGTGAGCGAGGAGGAGGAGAGCAGCTTCGATGAGCTCGCCGATGGCACGCCCTACCTCCAGCCTGGGGTGGAGCTCTCATTGCTCAACGAGGTGAGGGACACTAAAACATGTTCTCAGAAAAAAACAAAATCAGTTTTAGGCTCATCTTGTTTCCAGACTTTGAACATGTTTCTAAGATGTTTGGCCACAGTTCGCCCACATCACTGTTAGCAAGTCTAGAAGTAATCTTACATGCCAGACACAGGCTTAGCCTCAATGTAATTGTATGTTCTTATCTGCCTGGGCGCTGTGCAGTGGATAAGCTCAGGGCATGGCGTGTACGCCGAGGCTCTCTGGGACCATGTGACCATGGAGGAGAAGGAGCTGGCCTTCAAGGCCGGAGATGTTATCCGCCTTCTGGACGCTTCCCACAAGGACTGGTGGTGGGGCAGGGGGGGTGACAGGGAGGCCTGGTTCCCTTCCAGCTTTGTGAGGGTAAGTGGACTTTCTGACCCTGCTGCCTTTTACGTGTTTGCTGAGGAAAATAAAAGGTCCTCAAGCCGGCTTTAGCCCAAACAAACAGCGGCCCACTGAATGGAGAGCTGAAGGACAGAAACATAAGAGGGTCCCGCTGGTTTCTGTGGTGATGGGAATTGATTGACACTTTGGTCTTAATTAGTGAGGCTGTAGTAACCATGGTGAGGTTCCTTGATTGGCAGGAAGTGTAATTGCTTTTTGCTGAATCAACGTTGATGAACAGCGTCTGGTTCTGCCTCCACATGTTGCCATAATAAAGTAGCTACTGTTTTCTGTTTAAATTGTTCCCGACCTGTAGAGACAAATGTAAACGACTTCTAATTTATGTTTTTAAGTCTAATCCTGACTTAGGTTTGCTCTCAAAACAGATTTATTTGGGACCGGTTCTCAGGAGGTTTTGCTGAGTTTGCGTTGGATGTGTTTCAGGTGCGTGTAAACCAAGAGGACTCGAGCACTGAGAGCGTGGAGAGCGTGGCAGACCAGGAGGATCCAGCTCCCAGGGACAAACCCAGCACTCAGCACAGGGAGCAAATGAGAACCAATGTGGTTCAAGAAATCATGAAAACCGAACGCATTTACATCAAACACTTAAAAGACATCTGTGAGGTACTTGCTTCTTTACTATAGTAATACAGTGATGTAATGCAAAAATATCAACATCTTTGTGACAAATTCACATCATCATGCAACTGTAAATGTTACACATTCATTCTTGGATGGGTTATATAGATTAACACGCTTTTCAAGTCGAATTTCACTCACCATCCTTGAGCCCCTTAGTTCCAGCAAAACATTAGTTTAACAAACATGTCTGAAAACATCATGAAAGTTAAAGAAAAATACAGAAAGCAGCTCAAAGAAATTTAAAACATCTGTCTAAAATTGTTGGCAAAACAATTTCTAAAGCTTTCCTCTGCAAGCCAGTCAAAGTGAGAGCAGTAATCCTAACCTGATGAAAAGATGCATCACTGGTAGGCATTGGTCACTATAAAATTCTGACAGTGTGATAACCTTAAAAAGAGGATAAGTTTTAATAAGTTAATAGGACTGTTTTCATACTATTATGATTACAACTCTTTAGTGTTATTTTGAAATGTCTGAATTTAAAAAGAAAGAAACAAAAAAATGACATGCATTGTAAATTTGTGGGCAGATCTTCAGTATTGACTCTATATTCATGGTCAGGCTTTTAGCTACAATTATTTCATAGGATGTACACCTTGGTGTATCACATCTTCAGGTTTTGTGCGTGTCATTCCCCCGAAAATGTTGAAATTTAGACTCTCTGAAACCATATTTACTGTGTTTTGAGGTTGAATGCAGCTAACTTTTTGTCTTTGTTGCATCACCACTTTTATCCTGATTGTGGGAAGTATGGGTGCTTGACTAGAGGTAGAAATTTTATAAGGAGGACATGAGATCATTTTTATCTACAATGTTATATTTCATAGGTTAATTCAAACAATTAGAAAGTGTAATGCTACGTTCATTATGCACGTGTTTTGAGCATCAAAAAAAGTGACTGCTGCTTCATATTTGATGCTTGTACATAGGTTAGAAGGCAATCCCTCACACTAAGCATGCTTGTAGCGACAGTGGAGAGGAAAACTCCATTTTAACAGGAAGAAACCTCCAGCAGAACCAGGCTCAGTGTGAGCTGCAATCTGCAGAGGCTAACTGGGGTTCAAGGAGACAAAAGCAGACTTGGAAAAAGAAGCAGAGATGCAAAAGGCGACTGTCAACCAGCTCCACAGGTGGCCCCCATCCAAGAAACACCCAGCCAGGCAGACGAGCTCTGAGCCAGCTCCCATGACAGAGGAGGAAAGAGAGCACATCCAGTTTGTCACAGTCAGAGAAACAGGATTACACTAAAAAACAGACGAAGATCCAACATCTATAAACAAAGGCATTGATGGCAGCAGCACAGCGACACCCCTCTCCAGGATTGCGTCACAGCCAAACAGGAACAGATCAGATGAAGTTACTATGATGAAAAGCAGAGAGAGCATAACATTAGAGATTTACCTAACAAATTCTGCAGAATGAGAGAATAGAGGTAGAATGATGAAATAGGGGTCCCTATGTCCTCCAGCAGTCTGAGCCTATAGCAGCATAACTATAGAGATAGCTCTTGATAACCTGAGCCACTCTGACTATAAGCTTTATCAAAAAGCAAAGTTTTAAGCCTAGTCTTAAAGGTAGACAGGGTGTCTGCCTCACAGACTAAAAATGGTAGTTGGTATCACAGGAGAGGAGCCTGATAACTAAAAGATCTGCCTCCCATTCTACTTTTAGAAATCCTAGGAACCACTAGTAAACCTGCAGATTAAGAGTGAAGTTCTCTTTTAAAAACATAAGGAACAATCATATCTCTGATATAAGATGGAGCTTGGCCATTTAAGGCTTTACATGTGAGGAGGATTTTAAATTCTATTCTGGATTTAACAGGAAGCCGATGAAGAGAAGCGAGGATAGGAGAGATATGATCTCTCTTTTTAATTTTCATCAGAAATCTGGCTGCAGCATTTTGGATCAGCTGAAGCCTTTTAACTACAGTTTGTGGACTTCCTGATAGTAAAGAATTACAATAGTCCAGCCTTGAAATAACAAATGCATGGACTAGTTTCTCAGACTACATATTTCCAATACAGTAACAACTTTTACCAACAGAAACATTGCTGTGCCATAGGCTACCCTAGTAACACCCACTGTTGCCAATATTAACATGGAGGAGGTGGGAAGCAGAGCACTCGGCACATACAAGGGAACACAACCAACTCACTGGTTCAGACGTGGATAATACTTAGGTCAAGATCCAAACCAAGGAAGTTGAGGCATTCACCAACCACATCAACTCAGTGGAAAGTAATATCAATTTACTAGAGACGATGCCAAGAACAACATGTTGCCCCTTCTGGACTGTCCTCTACACATTGTGGACAATTCATCACCCACTGGAACATAAACTTTCTGTTTTCAGAACTCTGAGTAACCTGGGTTACAATATTTCCTCAATAAAGGATGAGAAACTAAAAGAAAACAAACATGTCAGGTGATTGTGAGCCCCCCAAAAAAACAAACAAACTACAAAGCAAAAGAATCTAACACAGATGACAAAACTGGGACTGTATCAGGATTTCAAGAAACTGATGGATTTTTTTTTTAAGGGAGGACTGTTCGGAGTCCTATATTGGAGAAACCAACCAGTAAACGCTATAGCACAGTACAGTACAGGAGAGCCTGTAGCTCTGGACAAGATTCAGTTGTACTCTTTTATCTAAACAGCAAAGGACAGATATTTGATGACCAAAATATTCACATTTTGGACAAAGAGGACAGATTGTTTAAAAGTGGGATAAGGAAGCACTCTTTGTTTAAAATGGAAAAGCAATCACTGAACAAGTTGTAGGACCACATGGTCTGCTTCTAAGCATCTACAAATCGGTCCTGTGCCTCATTCCAAAGACATTACATTAATACTTTCATCAGATTCAAATGGCCAAACTCTTAAGCTGCACACAACAAAAAACTTCAACAACGAAGGAGAATGATGGGTTGAGGCTTAGGAGGATGGACCTCCATTCTGCTTAAAAATATCAGTGCTCCAGCTACAGCTTGCTGTAGTGTGAGTTGATGTAATTGAAGAAGAATTAGTTGTTTCTGGTTGCCATGACCTAGATGACTAAAAATTTACAGAGGCATGATATGACAGGTAAACGTAAATGGTTTTAAACCATGCTATTTACACAAAAAAACATTTTGATGATCTTCTTTAGCAATATTTTGTAGACTGGTGGAAAATGTGTAACTATCAGTTTTGTGATCTAAAGGCTTATACAGCAGGACGGTGAACCAAAGCACCCTAATTGGCCAATCCTCATTTAGGATCTAAGAAGGAAACTAAGTGAAGGATTAGTTAAAGTTAAGTCCAGACTATGGAGGATCTTAAGCAGGCCATTCATGCTTATTAACTCTGATTTAGTCTCATTTCCAGCTGTTACAAACATATGATGCCAGCTTTTACTAGCATGGAGTGCTAGTCACCAAAGGGGATTTTGCTAAAAGGGAAATTTATTTTTCTATTCTGATGTGGTCAGTTTGGATATCCTTAGCTTTATCAAATTATATCATTATGTGAAAACTGTATTTTCAGTTTACCCAGACAGTATTTGTCTGATATTAACATTCTTACCATCTTTGTTTAACTAATCAGAAAAAGTAGCCACGAAAAAGTTGCCTTGTTTATATGAATGAAAAAAAAGTTTGAGAATCTTTTCTTCACTGTTTTTTTTTTTCCAGGGTTACATCCGTCAGTGCCGAAAACACCCCGACATGTTCACAGAGGTGCAGCTGAGAACGATCTTCAGCAACATAGAAGACATCTACAAATTCCAGAGGCAGTTCCTCAGAGAACTGGAGAAGAAGTACAACAAAGAAGAACCACATCTGAGTGAAATAGGCTCCTGTTTCCTCATGCAGGTGAAACCCTGATCTTTAGAGACCATTGAGTGTCTCCCTGAATAATTTCTAGTAATAACAGACTGGTTCTCCTCTCTAAAGGGTGAGGGCTTTTCAATCTACTCTGAGTACTGCAACACGCATCCCGCTGCCTGTGCTGAGCTGCAGCGTCTTATGAAGATGGGGAAATACAAACATTTCTTTGAGGCCTGCCGCCTCCTCCAGCAGATGATTGACATCTCTATCGCTGGCTTTTTGCTCACACCTGTCCAGAAGATCTGTAAATACCCTCTTCAGCTGGGAGAGCTGCTTAAATACACACCTAAAGACCACAGGTACCAAACTAAAGGGCAATTAAGATGGCTTATGATACAGGGCCTATTCATGCCCCTTAAACTTTTACAAACTTATTGTGTTTTCTTTTAAATGAAGGTAGCAACATGATTTTAAAGTGGAACAAAAATTCAATGGTTTAATTTTTCATGTTGGATCTCCTTTCATTATAAATACAGCTAATTTTTTCTCGTAATTGTCTGAGAGCATAACTTTTATTTTTTGTCTTATTAAAATTCTTTAAAGGATTTAGGTCCAAACTTACTTACTCGTAAACAATGCTCTGATCCAAACCATTGTAGGTTTGGTTGCATGTTTAGGATTGTTGTCCTGTTCATTTTCTTCCTCTTGCTGCCAACAGCGTGTTTTTGTTTACAAAAAAAGTTGCAACAGAAAAAGACTGTTAATAAAGAATGCTGCAATCACTGAAATGGAAGCAAAAACCTATAATTCACAAAATAGATCTAAAAAAAATAGTTAATCACAGAAAGAAAATGATGTAAATGGTAAAAACAACAATAAACTCGATCATAAAAAAACTGAAGTTCTCCAGCCCACTAGGTGGAGTCGAACCAAGAACAAACTTTATCTGACCGGAGAGAAAGCAATACACATGTTGCTATTCACAATCATGCAGGTATTTTCTAATACTGTAAGACTGTGTTTGAAAATTATATGAAAGATTACAAACCTCTGCTTACTTCCTTAAAAAAAAAAACTGCATTAAAGCCTAACTTCCTGTTTGTTCAGAGGGTTTGGTCCAAATGGTTTGTTTTTTCTTCAAGTCCTTCTGTTGGCCAGGAGCATGTACATTTTGGGGCCCCAGTCGGCTGCTGTTTTTACTATTGGCATCATTTTGTCTCTCTAGTTGCAGATTGTTATATCTTCATTTATTTATTTATTGGATTTTCTTAGTTGTTTTTAGTTTTTTTTATTCTATTTTTGTAGCAATTGCATTTCTTGTTTGCAGTGTTTTTCTGTTGTATTTGTTTTGTTAATTGTAGTTTATTTTGCTTTAATTTTTTGGGTGATTGCAGCACTTCTTGTTCTGTTGCATTTGGTTTTGGGTTTGCAGATTTTGGAGTTTGCATCACACATATATTTGTTTTTCTACTGCGCATTTGCACCTGCTGGCCACTGTAGTGATTAGTGTAAAAAGTACATCATTAGTTACTGGGTTACATTTCTTATTATTATTTTGTAGGTTTTTCATTAAGCACACATCACCCCATTTGATTAGGAGTAGGCTTGTCCCGATCCGATCCACATATCGGATCGGGACGCCGATATTGGCAAAAAAATGCGTATCGGCAAAGCATGTAAAATGCCGATCCAGACTGCCGATCCAGTTTTAAAAAAAAAATCTGGTCCGTATTTTCCAGTTTCGCCGATTGAAACGATCCATTCCACTATTTTGCGCCAGTGTTCCCCTGTTTTGCATTTTTATTCAAACTTACAGTAATACTTGCACCTTTAACTGTTTACGGTTTTACTGTTCACTGTGCAATTTCAGATTGCTATTCATAATTTTGTCCAGTTTGTGTTTATCTCTTAATAAACAGGTAAGTTTGTTGTTACCAATCATTGTGTTTTATTCAATCTCACCTAATTTAGCTGGCTAGATGTTATCAAGAGTACTAAAACCCTTTTCAACATGAGTCTTACAAGTAAGGCTAAATACTTTAACTTAAACTTAAATACATGCCCGGATAGGCTGGTATCGGCCAGTATCGGTATCGGATCGGAAGTCCAAAAACGATATCGGTATCGGATCGGAAGTGCAAAAACCTGGATCGGGACATCTCTAATTAGGAGTTAATGTTTGATTAATGTTTAATTTCAGGGACCACACTGGTGTCAGTGAAGCATACGAGGCTATGAAGAAGGTGGCCAGTTTAATTAATGAGAGGAAGAGGCGGCTGGAGAGCATCGACACCATCGCTCACTGGCAGGTTGCCATTTTGCACTGGGAGGTCAGAATGGCTGCTTATTTGATTTGTTTTAAGTAAAGGATGCTTCTGGACATGGTTTAAATGTTTCCACTCTGTGCACACACTGAAGGGGCCCGACGTGCTGGAGCGCAGTTCGGAGCTGATCCATTCTGGCGAGCTGACCCGAGCCGTTCGGCAGGGCAAGCTGCAGCAGCGAAGCTTCTTCCTTTTCGACCACCAGCTTGTCTACTGCAAAAAAGACGTCCTGCGAAGAGACCTACTCCACTATCGAGGGCGTCTAGATATGGATGAGATCGAAGTGTTGGACATTGCTGACGGGCGGGACTCGGACCTGGGCCTCACTCTGAAAAATGCTCTGCGGCTGCGGAACGCCTCCACCCTGGAGTTTGTGTGCGCACTTTGCTGCAGGAAGGTGGAGGACAAGCAGAGGTGGTTACAGGCCTTTGCCAAGGAGAGGCAGAGGGTGAAGGAGGACCAGGAGATGGGTTAGTGGCTCTATGCTGAGTAACCATGCTTCATCAGCGGGAGAGGCAGTAGGTATTTTAATCTAAAAGTTATCTTTTTTTTTTTTCCAGGAATAGACATCAGCGATGAACAAAGAAAACAGGCCATTATTAATGCAAGAAGACCAAAACATGGAAAGATCAAAAGTAAGGAAATGATTTATTCTGTTAAACCACTTCCCAGTTTTAGATCCGGTTTAATTGTTTTCTTTATTTCTATCATTTTAGCCGTTGGTTATGCCGACTCTGTCCCGCCACACCAGAACCTGCCTCCCCTTCAGCAGCGCCACATCACCATTCCCACCAGGGTGCCTCAGCAGCAGGTGTTTTCCCTTGCTGAGCCCCCCAGGAGAAAGCCTTACCACCTGCTGTACAGCATCACCCGGAACACCTTCTTCAAGAAATGAGCCTCTTGGACCTTTTTTCTTGTTTTCTACGCTGAACCATCCCAAAAACTCACTGAACATGTTTTGTTTTTTTCCTGTTTGTGTCGAGTCTTGTTTTTGCGCCTCTGTGTGTTTTTTAATATATTTGTTTTTGTTGTGAAGCTCCTGAAATTCAAAGAGGCGTCAAAAAAGTGTTAAAATTCAGACCGTCGTTTTATTCTTGTTTTTGTTAAAAAATGCTGCTTCCTCAGAAAAACCCTGTTCCCTTTAATCCATTCCAACTCACAGGTTTATTTCTGATTATGACAACGATGTTTTGTCTGCCTTTATGTTCAATAATATGGTTTTAGTGTTTTTGTCGAGTTTGTCAACTCTGAGCACAGCAGGATAAATTAACTGCTCACATTCATACAAACTGTGTAATAATGTAAATAAAACTGATGTACAAACACAAGTAATGCTTATGGGTGTCATCCGTTTGCTTCAGGTACGACTTTTAAGGCTGGTAAATATTAATTGTTGTGGAGTTGGATAGCGATGGAGGATGATGGATGAAACCCTAGCTGCACCAACCAGGAGTAAGGGTGGAACCAAGTTCAATTGACCTCTCTGCGGCTCGGATCTGGTTTCACACACCTGTCGGCTAAAGATCCAGACTGTTTCCCTGAAGCTCTTTTCACTGTAGAGTTATGCCCCAAAGTAATGAGGAAAAAACAATGAGGATGAGATAATAATGGCTTGAATGGATATCTGTGCCATGGGCACGAAGCTGAAGGATACGGAGCAGACAAAAGGGATCAATGATCCTGGATCCCAACAGGATGTTGCGAGCGTAAGTAGCAGACAGTTTTATCTTTGTGTTTCCATTCAGACCTAAAGAACAATCTGGTAGCAACAGCGCAGATCTGTCAGCTGTGATCAGTAGGAAGAAGTAAATGAATGGCAATGACTGCCACGAAGCTTTCTTGTCTTCATGTTGTCTTAATAGAGTACAGAGTCATTTTTAAATGGAAAAGCATTTCTTGTTGTGAATAATAAGTTTCCTTTTCAGGGATTTGGTATCTAATTGTCTTAGATTCTACAAATGCTCTTTGGTTTAACAGAATTCTTCTTCATTAAGAAGTGTCATCCAATCAGCTGCAGGAAGGAAATCCCATCCCTGTGCTTTCATTTTCTATGCTATGATCAATAAACACTGGACATAAGATTCCGGTTTAACTATTATAGGTTTATACAGGAATGAGTAACTCTAATTTAATGCTTTTTAATGCCATCAGCAAGTTTAAAGTATGTCTGAAGTACCCATGACTCTCATATATATACGGTAATTTGCTTCATCATCTTTACTGTTGACAGACTGGGGCCATGTCCCGAATTTTTCGATTTCCAGGCACTTTTGTTGGAATTTTTATTTTCCCATTCTCTAGCTTTTTTCTCCCCCTTGAGCTTCTTTTCCGAACATATGGCTTTATGATCAACCGGAATCAATTCTGCGCAAATATATCGTAATACATCTGACCACATTGTTTTTATAAACTTCTTTTTTTAAATAAAGCATTTTAAATGCAAAGATAATCACATTTAATAAATTTTAATGCCAATTCAGGCCTTAATTTAAAAAATAATAATTCAATGATTTTTAATGACCCGCGGAAACCCTGTACTATTTTAGGTTTAATTTTTTTCATCGTTGTTTGTATGAACCTCATATTGATTTTGACCTTTTAATGATTTATTTGTGGAACATTTTTTCTATACAAATGTATTTTTGGCAATTCTTTTACCAAATGAGACCAGGATTGGACATTGCCGTGCTCTGATTTATATCCACAGCTCCACTTATATGTGCAAACATGTTCTAGAAGAAAGCTTTCAATCCTGCTTCCTATCTTCCCAAATTGGTTTGTTTCTGTCAGTGGGCTCCAACATTAAGCAGAACCATAACTAATCAGCAGGGCTCGGAAGATGGAAATTCCCGAAACTTGGTATTTATCTACATTATCAACAACTTCTACTTTTTCTTAATGTTCTCTGAGTTGTCTCTGTCACCCACTTGCCTGTAGCGTTTTTTATAATTAATTACTTTGAGAAGTTCAAAAAATTAAGCTCATTGTTTCTCTGTCTTGTCTCTATCTGACTGTCACAGAGTTGATTTAACAGCTCCTAACTCTTCTCCATTCCAGTTTTGTTGCGAGCTCCTTTTCTGGGCCCGCAATAACCACTTTCAACTGCCAAACGCCAAATGCTGCTCATTGGATCGACTCCAGATGTTTTTCCTATTTTATAGGTGCAATTTTTCCTACCATACTAAGATAAGGAACTTTTTCAGAAATTATGCACTTCATAAATTTTTACACGATAAGATTTCTTACAGTAAGTCTGGTCGTCTCAGTGGAGTTAGCAATCATAAAAAAACCACAGAAATAATTTTAACCTATGAAGCCGAGTACGGAAACACTGAAAGGGATATTTGGGTAAGATGTTTGGAATTTGGGAGGTTTTCAGTTTATAAAAGTTATATAGCAGCAGTTTAGCTGACCAGAAGCAATACAAGTTCACTTTATCAAAGTAAAATACCCTTTAAACTACCTCTTTTAAATAGCAACAGGATAAAATGATGTGAATTTCTAACCAGATTTACTATCAGAGGCTTAATGCCGTTGAATTTTGAACAGCCATAAAAGTTAATCTTGCTTTATGAAAAATGTCTGGGATAACTTGAGTTGTTCTTCTGTGAGAATCCATCCCTCTTGGATGGATTATGTGCCAGCTGCACAGTATGGAATGACACCAAATGAATAATGAATGTGCATTGGGTAACTTAATGAGCGCTGAGTGTTACATCTGATGGAGATTGTGTTGCTTTCAGTTATTCCCCCTTGCTAGCATCATTTTCAGCAGACACCAACTTACAGTACATTACTGCTGATGGAGCAACAGCAGCTGAATGGGAAAGCTTACCCTCATAAGGCATAGATCATAAATTAGTCTGATCATCTGAACTGGAAGATCAGAGTAACTGAAGGGTTTCCTCATCCCTAACTTACGTCTATCCAAAGACACTTTTATGTTCATGTCGTATCATTTCAGCTCCATCTAGCATCTCCTAATTAAAATCTGGCCCTAATGGAGTTCCTATTGAAAGGTCAACAGAAATTGATTGCTGGTGTAAAGGTGCTTTGGGATTTATTAGATGGGAGTGGGACCCTTATTTTTCTGGCTGCAGATTGCAGATGTGTCTGTGGAGGTGGCCACTGTGGATCACACTCTCAGGAAGCTGCGCAGGATGTACAGGAAGACCAGGCGGAGGCCGAAGGGGCTCAAGCGGCTGTTGGCCTACCTGCTGAATGTGCCGCACATCACGATCATCATCTCAGCAGTGGTGTTCGTGGTGGTGGTCATCATATGGTCACTGCTCTGGGTCTTTGTCTGTAAGTGATGGGATTCATAAGATGCATAAATCTTGAGTGATTTGTTCATTTTCTAAATCCAGCTGGGAATTTTTGGTGTAAATTGAAAAGATGTTTAAAAAACGTCAGTTCTTTTCACAATGATCTTTGATCTTGAACCCAAGTTGGCCTGGGCAGATGGCCGGTCACACTGAACCTGGTTCTGCTGAAGGTTTCTTCCTGTTAAAAGGGAGTTTTTCCTCTCTACTGTCGCTACATGCATGCTTAGTGTGAAGGATTGCCTTTGGGTCTATGAGTCAATGCAATCAGCTGGGTTTCCTTAGAAAACTTTTAACCAATCTGATTGTATAATCTGTTTGAACTGTCTCTGTAAAGTGCCTCGAGATGACATGCATTGTGAACTGGCGCTAATAAATAAACAGAATTAAATTAGGTTAATATGGTAAATGTGAAATACTTAGAGGGACATGTTCAAATATACTCATAGTTAAGTTACAGTAGGTTTTTTTCCTGAACTAATTTAAGAAAAACATATGTAGAGACCTTCATAAAACTAGTGAAATCAAGGATGTTTTAAAAGTGTTTTTTCTGGTACTATATTGTTAAATGTCTCCTGAAGTGATTAGACTTCATCTACGGTAATCTCTTCAGTCCGCAGAGAAAGCTACAGCGGAGCGTATTTTGCCGGGATGTTCCGTGTTGCCAATGTGGAGTTCATCCCTGAGTACCGCCAGGCAGAGTCTCATGAGTTTGTATCCATGGCAACAAAAATTCAACATGTGGTAGGTGTCGGTGGGGCTCTTAGGGGTTGGTGTTGAGGTGAGTGAGCTCACGGTTAACTGTTGGTGTCTCTCAGGTGAGCAGTGTGTACAGGACATCCTCAGTGGCCAGACTCTACAAGCAAGCTGTCATTTCAGACCTCAGGTATTGGTGCCTGTTAGTCATAACTGCGGAAAGCTGTAGAGACGTCCCAATGGTGTTCACAGCTCATATCTTTGTCTTCACCCCCAGTAGCAACAATAAGGGGGGAGTGTTGGTGCATTTCTGGATGGTGTTCATAGTCCCCCAGCTGAAAACCACAGCGATATGTGAGGAGTGCATAGAGGCCATTCTCAGAGACTCCATCCACACTAGCCTGAAGAACAGGTCGTCTGTGGGCTACCTGCAAGGACTTCCAGTGGATATGGACTCCATCCTCATCAATGGTGTGTTTTAGTGTAGATATAGATGTCTGTGTTTGAATCAGCCTTGCACTTTTGCTGAACTGTTTTGTTCTGTTACAGGTGTTCAGCGTTCAGATTACTCATCAAACACAGCAGGTAGTTCCTACGCAGTCTGGAATAGTATGGGTTGGATTCAACAGACTTTATCGCACATCAGATTATGTTAAAGTATTATCCATCTGACAATCTATCCATTTCTTTCTTTCTCGCTGTCGCTCGCTTCCTTCCTTCCTTCCTTCCTTCCTTCCTTCCTTCCTTCCTTCCTTCCTTCCTTCCTTCCTTCCTTCCTTCTAGCCATTAGAGTCCAGCGATATATCAGATTCTTTCGCTGACCATGTGTAGGGACCATAGCCATGTAAAGTAAAGTTGTTCTGCATGTAATGCTTTCTGTTTTCTCTCAGACTCCCTGTGTGTAGATAAGCTGTATGCCAACCTACCTGGGACCAGTGTCCCTTTAAATGTCTACTCATCGTGGGGGGGTGTGAACTGCCATGTGAAGCTCACGTCAGTGCCTGGCTCTCTGATCCGTCTGACCGTGACCTTGTTTCTTATTGAACCCACTGACTGTGTGTACGACGCCCTGACTGTGTACGATGCTCTGCTGCCCATGAGGGGGCGCATTCTGCACAGGTGAGACTACAGCAAAAAACCCACTCTGACTATCTTACATCCTTTCAGGGATCAAAATACTCTATGCCACATGCGTTCATGGGAATATTATTGTTTTTTCATGATTTAGCATATTTACCGATAAAGATGTCTATCTAGTTTCATTTCACCCCATTCATATTTCCTGGTCTATCATATAAATCATGTGCATA